CCCCAAAACCCCAAAACCCCAAAACCCCAAAACCCCAAAACCCCAAAACCCCAAAACCCCAAAACCCCGAGCAGCATTGCCAGGATTGATTAATATTTAAGACACACTAACAACTACATAAATGGCAAGTGCTACAAACACGATGAGAACTGAGCATAACGTGAATATCTTGCTTGTCCTTGTTCTAGATCTTGCTCTAAAGTAATGAGTGGTTATTTTAGTTCTCTAGAGTAATTATGTCCTTCAAACAAGATAGATTCATATGAAAGCGGAATGAAGAATGTAGATGGCGTGTATAATCTACTTTGCTTCTAAAGATTTCCTTGGGTGTTAAAAATAACCATGTTTTGAATAAAATGCATTCTTATTTTATTGAAAAATTGATATTATCTCCAAAAAATTCTAGAAGAAATCTTTGGAAATAATAAAGTGCTTACCTTTCGGCATCGTCATTTATGCCTTGACGTCTGTTCTGACCAGCAGCTTCAAGAATTTGATTCTGGTGTCTACATAAGAAAGGTTAATAAAACCTTATAAACTGTGTTATAAGTAAAATAAACATTCTTGAAAATTAAGCTTGAAATTGGTATTTTAGCTATCAAAATTAATAGGTATACTAAAAGATAAGATCAATATATTTGAACAAAGTAATAAAGTTTCAAGATAGGCTGCATGCTAGAATTAGAGATATATTTGATCAGCAAAAATATAGCTAATATTGATTTATTTTTACTAGTAACATCACTTAAAATTATCTCCCAATAATTGAAATGGACTGACTTAATTTCTTAACAAATTTTGGGTACAAAGTCGCTTCACAGAAATCCAAATCAGAGACCAAAGCCTGAAATAATTGTGAGCAATCTTAACAAGATGCTCTTAACTATACTATGGTGATAGCATCATAAAATAACCTCAGGATCACCTGAAAAGTACAGTGAGTCAACTCTTTTAATGGTTAAGTTCTTCAATATGAACCCAAGCCAGATTGGTAACTCCCCCGTGTCATAATGGTTATGAGAACAACTATAATCTCTTAATAATTAAACTCCAATTATTCCTACTATTCATAGATATTAGATGTGAGAAAGTAACCATGAAATTAGGATTTTCAGGTATTTAGGAATCCTCAGAAGAGAATAGAACGGGATTATCTGAATACTGAGAAGCTAGGCGCGCAAGTGGGTTGCAAATTTAGTAAAAGGAAGAGGTTTTCAAAGATCTTAGGTATTGAAGACTTACATTTGGTCTTCAAGAGCGCCTCGATGGAGATTGTGGTGATTAAAATGTTGGTTATTGTTCTCTTGGTCCACTAGGATTGGTTGACCAATAGCAATTCCTGGATTGAGAGGAGATTTAGAATCATTTTCACCGATGTAGCTCACTGGTGATCCAAATTGCATCTGAGGATGATTTACAATGCTATTTTCATGTGTATCATCTGATACATTAGTAATTACGATCACTTACTATTCTGATTCTGGTTACCCTCATTATTAAATGCTTTAAATTTGCTATTTTTGAGATCATCAATGCTTTCTCTAAAAATTATTATTATCCCATTGAAAATTTAGAAGTAAAGCTAATTACTCTTCATCTGGTAGATAATTGTAGGCAGCCACCGATTTTGAATCAGCCATAATATTTTCAATTTTATTATACCTATTTGGGGTTTTGGGGTTTTGGGGTTTTGGGGTTTTGGGGTTTTGGGGTTTTGGGG